TTCGGTGACGCCGTCGACATGGCGACCTTCAACCAGATTCTCGAAATGGACGAACCAGGAGAGTGCGAGTTCAGCCAGTCCATCGTCGAAGGATTTTTCGAGCAGGCGGAGGAGACCATCACGTCGATGAAAGAGGAACTGTGAGTTGTGATCGTGAACCCTCCCCCCCCCTCTCCTCTGAACGCAACACTTTCCCTCCAAGTACTCCGAAACCCCTCAAAAATCCTCTTCCGCCCTGGCTACCCCTCCTCCTGACGCAACCGGTGAGGGCTTCTGGCCCTTTCCCACTTGTTGGTCGATTTTCCCTCGATGCAAATCAGGCCCTGGGTGTTGCAGCTGACCACGTCTTCTTCGGTGACCAGGGAGAACAAGGAGTTGGAAAAGCTGTCTTCTTTGGGTCATTTCCTCAAGGGCTCTTCGGCCACCCTTGGTCTGGTCAAGGTGCGAGACAACTGCGAAAAGATTCAGCGGTTCGGCAAGAAGGAGAAGGAGGATGGCTCCCCGCTGCCAGACGAGAAGGTGTGCCTCGAAAAAATCGGAGAGACCCTCAAAACTCTCGAGACGGACTACGCCGACGTCGAGCAGGTGCTGAAGCAGTACTTCGAGGGGCGAGCTGCAACAGATTAACGAGCATGCCCTCCCCATCATCCGACGCCGCCCACTCTAAGTCTCGGACCTTGTCACAAGCACTAGAAACCAAGGCCTTGACGGTATTGAGGCAGAGAGGGCAGTGCCATATTTTCTTGACTGGGTGCCGCTTCCAAGCTTCCGGTCTGGAAGCGTAGTTGTGTCACCCGTCATTGCCGTCATCACCATCATCACCATCACCAACAACAAACAACGTCGTCAGCTCTTCATACCCCCCTTTTCGCGGACGCAAAGCAATTGGACAGGATTTCGAACAGCGTTGCATGGCAACTTGCCAGGTCTTTTGCGATAGCTCTCGGACTCAGACGGTCAACAGGACGCGCAAGACTTCTTTTGGGGGAAGGATGCAGCCATGTTCACTGCTGTGGCTAGGTATGCTTCAATGTGCAGTTTGCCACGAGCCGACTCCGCCACGTCCCAAGCAGGTCATTGCAGTCGTTACCGAATAGACCAACACTAGAACTTCACTCGCTTCCCCACAACCCCAGGCAACGCATTTCTATTTCCAAGAATATATTTTTTTGTGAAAGCTAGCCTACTTTTTCCAACAACTTGCGCAGGAAACATCATGTATGGACTGACAGCGAGACGATTAGCACGATAAACTAAGAGACCTATGCGAAGAGGTTGCTGACGCTTCGGGTGCCACCGTATGCTTGAGTAGAGGAGGCCCTCGAGCGGAGAGGAGAAATATGTGTCGCCAGGATTGACATCATCTGACCAAAATGGGTGGGGGATCGGCGTCTTGTGCAAGTGTTCATGTTAATTCTATTTTGAAGCCCCGCACTAGCTCCGGGCAAGTATACTACAGCCTATTGGTGAAGCCCGTGTCGACATTATGGAAGGCTAGACAGATCCGAGCTTCCGATCTGCTGCGAACAATAACAAACCTCAGTTTCTCGGTATGGGCCTGGAGTCCCTATGTACTTTTGAGGACTCTTGATTTGATTTACGGTCACGTGCAGGGTCTACCCTACCATCAGTTCTGACCAGTTATTGGTCCTTTGCAATGAGGAGCCTTCCGCAAGGTTAACCTGCCTTTGGCCATTGCACCAAGACTGGTGACAGTATATTTCACCTGAAATCTGGTCGTCCACCCCAGTAGATTGATTTGCCGTCTTTGTCTTGATCCGTTTTGCCAGCATCTCCAAGCACCTCCAAGCACCCCGTTTTGTCCGTCAGACAGTATATCAGCATGCCGCCCCGCCCGAACGCCAAACCGGCTTTTACGCATTTTCTCTGTATTCCCCTAATCACACTAGCCTCGAGATCACAAGTATCGAGAAGCTTGGCTTCTTTCAAAGCAGATGTTACGGATGCTGCCAGCTTCGACATCCCGGAGACCGCAGTCAGGCCCCTCGGCACCCTCCACCTCACACTTGGCATGTTGAGCCTTCCCAGCCACGAGAGCGTCCAAAAAGCGACTGCAGTTCTCCGGAGCCTGAACCCGCGCGCAGCCTTTGTAGACATTAGGTCGCTGCCCGCCACTGCGCCTCTCGCAACGCCAGCCCCACCGGTGGATACCAGCGTTGAGCAGTTGCCGTTCCTGACTCTGAGGGGCCTGCATTCGATGCAGCGGCCTGAGCAGGCGTCGGTGTTGTATGCTGCGCCTGAAGATGATCGAGGGATCCTGCTGAGGTTCTGCGAGAGACTGCGCGATTCCTTCATTGATGCGGGCGTCATGGTGAGGGAAGAGAGGCCCCTGCTTTTGCATGCTACCATCATCAACACGATCTATGTCAAGGGGGGCAGGGATACGCAGGGAAAACGGGGGAAGAAGCTGGCTCTAGATGCGACAGACGTGTTGGCGCGGTATGAGGGATACGTGTGGATGGAAGGTGTGCCTCTGGAGAGGATTGCCATCTGCAAGATGGGAGCGAAGGCGGTGGATGGCGAGGATGGGGCTGCGTACGACGTCGAGGCCGAGGTTGATTTCTAGGTTTGGTACGGCACCTCAGGGGCTGGGGGCAGAGAGAGGTCCATGAGATATAGTAGAACCTGGAGCTTACTGTGTACCGGAGTACACCTCTTTCTATGCCCGGAGTACACCTCTTTCTATGCCCGGGGTAGCATTCTTTCAATGGCGTGGTTCTCTCGAAATGACTAGACGAAGTATTTAAATAGACAATGCACCCCAAAGAGCCATTGGTTTCTTCTGGCTTACGTCGGCGGCATCGCTTCTCGCTGTGGCACGTTGTAACAAGTAGTTGACGTGAGGCCAAGGTGTGATTCGGACATATTTCCTTAGACAGTATATCATATGGGTACATGCATCACGAGCTCCATGATTGCATAATCTGTCTCTATATCACGATATCAGAGCTCACCCCTCCAGGCAGCCACCGTCAGGTCCCCCTCTTGAGGATCTAAACCGTGCTCCTGACACAGTGCTGATGGACAGCTAGCTACCTTACCTTAGGTTGCAGTTCTGCAAGACGGGGGGCCAACCCCGCGATAGCATCCTTCCCATCGAACCTGTATCCGCCCCCCGATGCGAACTGAACGCAGCATGCCGAGCCCGCGACACATGGCTCCGCCCCCGCCCCCATGACGAAAGAACGGAGACGAACGAATGTCATCTTTGG